CAGCCAGCCATGCTGGCTGGGGGATTCTGGGAGTTGAAGTCCACATAGCTTAAAGTTGCCAAGATTGAGAAACACTGGACTGGAGCCACAACAGAAATCTAGGCTTTTCTGCCAGAGCCACTTTAGTTCTTCCAAATGAGAAAACAGCAACAGGAAGAACAAAAAATACCCTAAAACAGTGAACCAGGTAAGGATTAGTCTTCAATTAGCTAATATATTGAGACATTTTCAAGAAAAAGCCATGAGAAGTGATCCATTATCTGCACGAAATGTTTTAAAGAAAGAATGCAGTCTTACGCCAGAACTTGGGGCGGGTAGGCAGGGGTGGGATGGAAACAAAATTGTGCCCAAGCAGTGTGTGACTGTTTTCATAGCAATGTTATTTTAAGGAAAATTGGAATCTCTGAATGAAAATATGCAGATGGCATTTGGGCTTTGCGTGGATTAAGGGTGTTATTTTGGAGGACAATGATTCACTGTCCCTTTCCCTGGTGAAAGCTACATTTTCCAGACTTAGGGAGAGCAGTGTATGCCTATATTTAAAGAAATCTTGCTATATGTGGAAAAACGGCATTTGTCATCTTGAAAATAGTTCCTAATTGAAAATCCAATAAAGAAATGCATGTTTTAAAAACAAAGAAGAAAAAAATGTTTTTTGCAAGTCGCCCAGAGTCTCCTATTGTGGGGGAGATGGGTGGGGGAGAAATCCAATCAATCAATCAATCAATCAATCAATAAAATAGGCCTTACTAAAATTCAGTGATGAAACAGGTTATAATCTAGTTCAGCCAACTTGTTTAAGGTTTAAACAGTTTAACCACACAACACCACTGCAAGGTGTTTTGCCAAAGCAACCGGCTCAGATATGATGCTATTAATTGGACTATTTGTGCAGCCTTACTATACTGATATATTATTAGGGGCAGAGGGAGCAACAGGGAGAGGGGACACTTTTCAATTTTTCAGTAAATTCAGTTTAGATGAAATTATGCATAGGAGTTTTTAGCAGTCACAAACACAATACTGATATCTCAGGTAGATTAGTGTAACAGACTTAACGTTGGTCTGCTCTTGAATAGCATTCATAGATGTTAATTTGTTTTAAGTACTGCTGGTAAAAAGTTGGCTGGTACTAAGTTGAGGACTTGTGATATACCACCCACTTCTTTGGACTGGCCCCACCCACATTTTGGACCTTTGGCATATGGAGAAAGAGATGGTCCACCTCTGCTGAATATGAGCCAGATCCCAGCATATCCAAACAGGAGGATCTTTACAGAACTGGAAAACAGTTGAGTGGAAAATAATGCAGTTGGATGGATCAATGATCTCAGTGATATTAAGATACTACCTTATTCTCATGGCGCATTTTGTTTAATTCCTTTGTGGAATTAAATATGCTATCTATAGCAGTCTCCCGTCCACTTACAAAACATACTATGATCTGCTTATTTTGACACAATATTTTTAACACATCATTATCTGCTGACTTGGGCTTCAGACTGAGCAAGCTTTCATGATGAATCCTTCTAAATGTTACAGAACATCAAGGGGCAACTAGCATTCTGAAAAGAATGAACCCACATTTGGAAAGTATTCTCTACATCCAGATTGCCCTTGCTTGATAAATACATTTTTGTGCAAATAAACTGATTGCACAGAATGGCCTTAATTTGTGTACTGCAAGGGTTGCAACCATGGGTTTTAAAAAAAGAAAGATAAAAGTTGCTCCATCAGAAGCTCTTTCGCTAATCAGGCATTCCGATGAATTAATCTCCTGCATTTGAATTTATACAACAATTTCCATATGGTAGAACCTTAAGGAAATCACATGGAAGGCTCTGTGCACATTCATTAAATACCGTGAGCGTCTACATTTTAAAGGCTGCCTTAAAGAAAATATCAAAGCAAATGAATATTTTAAGGGGGAAAAGAGTGCTTATATATATATGTGTGTGTGTGTGTGTGTGTGTGTGTTTTCCTTCCTTCCTTCCTTCCTTCCTTCCTTCCTTCCTTCCTTCCTTCCTTCCCTCCCTCCCTCCCTTCCTTCCTTCCTTCCTTCCTTCCTTCCTGTTTTTTTGTAAAGCAAAGACTACTGGCATTCTAAACTAATTCAATTGTTGGGTGGATTTTTTGATGGAGCTTTCCAATCTTTAGATCATGTTTTGTGTTCACTGCTGACACACAAGCAGTTTAAAAAACAACAAATCTCTCAGTTATTTATTTATTGCTTGGGGCAAAAGCAGGTAAGGAAAGACATATAGATGCATATA